CCATATGGGATGCTGGGAATCGAACCCGGGTCAGCCGCGTGCAAGGCAAACGCCCTACCCGCTGTGCTATCGCTCCAGCCCCATGGCGTCAGATTTCTCACCCGCATTCGAACCTCTTCCCCAACCCAGGACCCCTCCATCCCGGCCCCGCCGCGCACACGCACACGCACACGCACACGCACACGCACACGCACACTTCAGAGCTATCAGGACAAACGCACCCAGGGCCCACAGCGAGGGCACCAGCCGCGGGGCGCCGGCCTTGCATGCAGCCGACCCAGTTCCGATCCCCAGCATCCCATAGGGTGGCCCGAGCTCTGATAGGAGGAATTCCTGAGCATAGAGCTAGAAGTCAGCCCTGAGCATCGCTTGGTGAGGACCAGCAACCCCCCCCCCCCCAAAAAAAAAAAACCAAACCAAACCAAAACAAAACAGAAAAAAGTGAAAAACAAAAAATCAGAACAAATGCACCCACATCATTTTTGTTCCTTTGGGGAGGTCAACCCAACAGTGCTCGGGGGACGCTCGCGACCCAGGGCTCAAGAGACCCTGAGGTGCCAGGGACGGAGCCTGGGGGCTTATGCACACCTGCTTGCAAAGCTTGTGCCCGGCCACTGAGCCGTTTCTCTGGCACGGGCGGCTGAATGTCATCCAGCCCGTCCCTTTGCAGCTCAGACGGAACCGGGACAGGCAGCCCGGTGCCAGGCGGGTTCCTGACCTTTCTCCCCACACCCCAGGGCTGCTCCCTGAGCACACGCTGATGTCCACGTTCTGGACTCTGTCCCTTCCCTCCCCTCCCCTCCCCTCACCTGGGGGGTTCCTCAGGGGGCTCCGTGGACAGCGTTTCTCCGGGCCCGCGCGGTGTCTTCCCTCCTCATCTCTGCCAGCTGGTTGAGCTGGTCTCTCTGCTCCTTCGCTGTGTAATCACCCTTAGTCACCCAGCTCACGGTCACCTCCTCCAGGAGGCCCTCCCTGACCACTCCCCAGGTTGAAGCGGGTCACTCCTGCCTTCCTCCCCCAGGTGCTCATTAACCAGCTCACCCCGTGCTCTCCCTGCGGAGGTGCTAACTGCCATTATGCCCATTTTTACAGGGAAATAAAGAGACGCTCGAGAAGTGAGGTCACTAGCCTGAGGGCTCTGAAGTCAAACTGGCAGGACCAGGTCAGCGGAACGAGAGAGACAAAGAGAGAGACAGAGAGAGAGAGGCAGAGAGGGAGAGACAGAGACACAGAGAGACACAGAGAGGGACCAGGACCAGGTCAGCGGAATGAGAGAGACAAAGAGAGAGACAGGGAGAGAGGCAGAGACACAGAGACACACAGAGAGGGACCAGGACCAGGTCGGCGGAATGAGAGAAAAAGAGAGGGAGAGACAGAGAGACAGAGACACAGAGACTGAGACAGAGACACACAGAGACATAGAGAGGGACCAGACCAGGTCAGCGGAACGAGAGAGACAAAGAGAGGGAGAGACAGAGAGACAGAGACACAGAGACTGAGACAGAGACACACAGAGACACAGAGAGGGACCAGACCAGGTCAGCGGAACGAGAGAGACAGAGACACAGAGAGAGAGGCAGAGAGGGAGAGAGACAGAGACACAGAGGCAGAGAGGCAGAGACAGAGACACAGTGAGACACAGAGAGGGACCAGGACCAGGTCAGCAGAACGAGAGAGACAAAGAGAGACAGAGAGAGAGAGGCAGAGAGAGAGAGACAGAGACAGAGACAGACAAGACAGAGACACAGAGAGACACAGAGAGGGACCAGGACCAGGTCAGCGGAATGAGAGAAAAAGAGAGGGAGAGACAGAGAGACAGAGACACAGAGACTGAGACAGAGACACACAGAGACACAGAGAGGGACCAGACCAGGTCAGCAGAACGAGAGAGACAAAAAGAGACAGAGAGAGAGAGACAGAGAGAGAGAGGCAGAGAGAGACAGAGACAGAGACAGACAGGACAGAGACACAGAGAGACACAGAGAGGGACCAGGACCAGGTCGGCGGAATGAGAGAGACAAAGAGAGAGAGAGACAGAGAGACAGAGACAGAGAGGCAGAGACAGAGACACAGAGAGACACAGAGAGGGACCAGGACCAGGTCAGCGGAACAAGAGAGACAAAAAAGAGAGAGACAGAGACACAGAGACAGAGAGGCAGAGACAGAGACACAGTGAGACACAGAGAGGGACCAGACCAGGTCAGCGGAATGAGAGAGACAGAGAGACAGAGAGAGAGACAAAGAAAGAGAGAGACAGAGACACAGAGACAGAGAGGCAGAGACAGAGACACAGTGAGACACAGAGAGGGACCAGGACCAAGTCGGCAGAACGAAAGAGACAGAGACAGGGAGAGACAGAGACAGAGAGACAGAGACAGAGACAGACAGGACAGAGACACAGAGAGACACAGAGAGAGACCAGGACCAGATCAGTGGAACGAGAGAGACAAAGAGAGGGAGAGACAGAGACAGAGACACAGAGAGACAGAGACAGAGACAGACAGGACAGAGACACAGAGAGACACAGAGAGGGACCAGGACCAGGTCGGCGGAATGAGAGAGACAAAGAGAGAGAGAGACAGAGAGACAGAGACAGAGAGGCAGAGACAGAGACACAGAGAGACACAGAGAGGGACCAGGACCAAGTCGGCGGAAGGAGAGAGACAAAGAAAGAGAGAGACAGACAGAGAGACAGAGACAGAGACAGACAGGACAGAGACACAGAGAGGGACCAGGACCAGGTCGGCGGAACGAGAGAGACAAAGAGAGGGAGAGACAGAGACAGAGACAGAGACAGAGACAGAGACAGAGACAGAGACAGAGAGGACAGAGACAGAGAGGGACCAGACCAGGTCAGCAGAACGAGAGCGCGCGCCTGCGCACAGGAAAGGCGCGCGCTTGCCTGCAGAGCCCAGCGAGAGGCAGACCCCCTCCCCCCGCCCGCTTTCCTCTTCCTGTGGGAATCCGGGGTGGGGGCGGCGGCGTGGGGAGCCCGAGCTCCTGCCCTGGCCACCTCCGGCCGCGCCAGCCAGCGGCTCCCGGGGCTCCCGCCAGGCCAGGCGTTGGGCCAAGCGAGCATTTTCTGGACCTGGCTCGCTCCGGCTGCACAGGGGCGGCCCGGGCTGGGTGCTGGGTGCTGGGTGCTGGGTGCGGGCGCCCCTCGGTGACCCCCAGCTCACCAGGACTGACCCCTTCTGCAGACCACCCCGCAGACCAGACCGTTCCCAGGGGCCGGAGCGATGGACAGCGGGGAGGGAGTTTGCCTGGCACACGGCCAACCAACGGGGGTCGCATCCTCAGCATCCCAGAGGGTCCCCCTTGAACCCCGCCAGGAGTGATCTCTGAGCACCGAGCCAGGAGTCAAGTCCTGAGCACTGCGGGGTGTGGCCCAGGAACAAAACCAGAAACAAAAGAACATCCTTCTCTGGGGCCGCGGGACTTGCCAGGTTGCTGCCTCCCTCCGGATCCCTGGACACCCCCAGAGGCAGCAGGTGACCCCCGAGTCCTGCCACGAGACGGGTGCTGGGTGCACAGTGGCAGGTGCTGGGTGCACAGTTGGGACTCACACTCCCCCACCCCCAACCATGCCTGCTGGTAACCTGGAATCTGGGGTGTGTGTGTGTGTGTGTGTGTGTGTGTGTGTGTGTTGGGGGGGGGGGCTCCCTCATCCACCAAAGTCACAGCAAAGTCACAGCAGCCCCCAGGCCTGCCAGCTGCCTCAGTTTACCCATCTCAGCCTCGGAAGGTGCCACCTCCCGTCGGGTCCCTGATGCTCACCCGAGAGCACCATGCACTCTGCACCCTGTTTTGAAGCAAGCAGTGCCGGGCCACCCTCCCCGGCCCACACAGTGGCAGTCCACGACACTCGCCGTTCCAAGGCGCCCACACATCTCCCAGCCGCTAGCAGCAGTCCTCTGACCTCTCACCTCTGGCCTGCAGCCACCACCAGCAGTGGGGGGTGGGGGGTTGGGGGAGCGAGATCTAATTTTTCCTTTTCTTTTCACTCTTTTTTTTTGCACCCTCTCCCCTACTCACACCTGCCAGAAAGCTGTTCTTCTTTTTTCTTTTTTCTTTTTGGGTCAAACCCAGCAATGCACAGGGGTTCCTCCTGGCTCAGGGGGACCCTATGGGATGCTGGGACTCGAACCCGGGTCGGCCACGTGCAAGGCAAACGCCCTCCCCGCTGTGCTCTGGCTCCAGCCCCCCTCCAGAGGGCTGTTCTCGCTCACCGCCCCGGCTGGAGGTCAGCTTCTGTCCAAATCTTGGGGGCTGGAGAGATAGTACGCCCGGGAAAGACCCGGGTTCAAGACCCCGGACATCCCATATGGTCCCTGAGCTCAGTAAGTCGTAAAAGGCGTTGCTTTAGGGTGACCCCCCCCCAAAACCGAAAATAAAGGAAAAGCAAGAAATCGCTCCCTGAGCCTGATCCCGGGTCCCCCTTGCCGGTCTCCCTCCCTCAGCCCGGTCCCATCCGGAGCTGGAGCTGGATTGTTTTTGGGTGTTTACCACCCCCACCCCACCCCACCCCACCCCACCCCACCCCCGCCACCCCTCCCCGCCAGAGGGTCTACCCGGGCCGGGCTGCATCCGGGGTGTCCAGCACCCGCGCCGTGTGGACCCGCTGGGGCACGGGACCCCCACGCTCCCACATCCGGATTCCGCCCCCTCCCCGCGTCCCCGAGCCGAGCGCAACCCCCTCCCCCCACCCAGCCCGCCCTCTCGGCGTCGGTTCCCGGGTCCCCTGGCACCCCGGGGTGGGGGGAGGGAGCGTGCACGGGCCGGGGTGTGGGGTGGGGGGACCGCCGGGGCCCTCTCCGCCGGGGAGGTGATCCAGGCCCGGGAAGCCCCCCGGAAGGGGGATGGGGGGGCCCGAGCGGTGGGGGCCGGGCCAGCCCGGGGCGCCGTGACCGCGGAGGCGGGGCCCGAGCCGGCGGCGCGCGGGTGGCCGCCCGGGACGCGGTGGCGGGGGCGGCGGAGGGAGGGAGGGGGGTGTCGCCTACCTCGTGGGGTGCAGGCGAGCGCAGGCAGCGGGGGCCGGGCTGCAGATGCGGGAGACGGAGGCGACACCACGCAGCGGACTCTGCTCCCGGCACCGCCTCGGCCGGGGTCCTGCTGGCTGGAGACGCCGGGTGCGGGTGGAAGAAAACTGGCGGGAGCGCAAGGCGGGGCCACGGGGCGGGACCTGGACGGGGAGGGCCCGGGTGCCGGGTGCTGCGTGGATCGGCGCTTGGTGCACCGGGGGACAGCGACACTGACCCTCCGCCCCGGCCGCCGGCCCCGCCCAGCCGCCGGCCCCGCCCCTTCCCTCCACGGCCACGCCCCTTCCCTCCGCGGCCACGCCCCTTCCCTCTACGGCCGCTCGCCAGACACGCCCCAGTCTCCGCCTCCCCGACCAGACCCCGTCCCTGATAGGCCACGCTCCGCCCCAGACTCCGCTGTGGACCCGCCCCTCCGACTAGACTCCGCCCCAGACCAGACGCGCCCCTGCGTGACTCCGCCCCCACGCTAAGAGCCCCGCCCCTGAAGCGGACCCCGCCCCTAACAGGCCACGCTCCTCCCCAAAGGGCTCTGTGGGCCCGCCCCTCAAGTTAGACTCCGCCCCCAGACACGCCCCTCGAGGGCTCGGCTCCTAACTCCGCCCCCATCTCCGTCTCTGGGCCGGGGGATCCAGCGCTGAGTCTTCGCTGGTTCTGCTTTTTTTTTTTTTTTTTTTTTTTTTTTTTTTGCTTTTTGGGTCACACCCGGCAATGCTCAGGGGTTACTGCTGGCTCTGCACTCAGGAATGACTCCTGGCGGTGCTCAGGGGACCATATGGGATGCTGGGAATCGAACCCGGGTCGCCTGCGTGCAAGGCAAATGCCCTACCCCGCTGTGCTATCGCTCCAGCCCCTGGTTCTTCTGCTTTTGAACCCGGAGTGAAGAGCCCTCTGCCTCCTTCTTTTCTGTTGGCTGCGTTTCCCGGGTTCTCTACTTCTGGTCTAACCCTAACCCTAACCCTATTTTATTTGGACTCAACGTCTGCACACACGCCCTGGTGCCCTTCGTGCATTGCTTGGCAATGCGGTGCACGTGTTGTGTGCACTGTGTGTGTGTATGTGTGTGTGTGTGCGTGCACGCGTGCATTCGTGTGTGTCTGTGTGCGTCTGTGTGTGCCTGTGTATACCTCTGGGAACTGTGTCCCAGTTCACAAACCAGATCGTGGGGGAGGTGGGAGGGCGTCCGAGCCATGCCCAGGGGCCCACCGTCAGAACTGGGAGCCTGATGGTCCAGTAGGTGCAGATATCAGCTGGATGGGTTGCAGGGCCCAGGTACAGAGCTGGGCACACATGCCCAGCCAGGAACTCCTTTCTCTTTGGTGGAACTAAAAATGGGCCCCTTCATACTTCTACGGGCCAACAACAAACCAAAAGAGAAAGAAATTTTAGGGGCTGGAGTGATAGGACAGCATTTGCTTTGCACATGGTTGATCTGAGTTTGAACCCGAGTACCCCAGAAGGTCTCCCCAGCCCCACCAGGAGTGATCCCTGAGTGCACAGACAGAAAGGGCTGACCACTGCTGGGTGTAGTACCCCCTAAGAAAAAGACCAGAGGGGACGGAGTGATAGTACAGTGGGTAGGGTAAACTTGAGTAGGAGCCTCCGAATCCCATGGGGTCCCCTGAGCACTTCCAGGAGTAATTTTTGAGTGCAGAGCCAGGAGTAACCCCTGAGCATCACTGAGTGTGGCCCCCAAACAAACAACTAAAATAAAAGACCAGAAATATTTGGTGTTGGTGAGGATATGGAGGAAAAGGAACCCCATTTTCTCTGGCTGGAGTTGTAAACTAGTTCGGCCTCTGTGAAAAAACCAGCACGGAGACTACTCAAAAAAAATTAAAAATAGAACTCCTCTATGAACCAACAAGGCCAGTTCGCTGGCATCATCCCAAGAATGCAAAAACATTAACTCCAAAAGATCAACACACACCTACGTTCAGAGTTCTGTTTACAATAGCCGAGACCTGGACACAGCCCAAGCATGTAGCGACACGAGTGGAAAAAGGAAAAGATAAAACGAGGGCCAGAGCGACAGGATAGCGGGGAGGGTGCTTGCTTTGCATGTGACTGAGGTGCTCAGGTTCCCCAGGCCCCGCCTTGGAGCCCTCTCTGAGCACAGAGCCAGGAGGAAGCTCTGCGCATTGCCAGACGTGATCGAAAAACAGAAACAAGACTGAAAAAGCAAGAAACAGATGGATGGAAAGGAGACCAGGTCAGCAACTGTGCGTAGACAGGGAGCCAGTGCGGGGAGCACCGGGGGTGTCACCTCCGGGTTCACGTCAGCACCTGGTGCTGGTGCAGGTGAAGGGACACGGGACTGACCACGTGGCTTTCCCTTTGGACCCCAAGCCTCCCGGAGCGGGGTTAGGTGTTGAACGTGTGTGTGTGTGTTTGTGTGTGTGTGTGTGTGTGTGTGTGTGTGTGTGTGTGTGATGTGGGTTTCTGGTCGTGTCTCCCGAGGCAGCTGCTTCAACTCTTCTGAACTGGATTCCCCTCTGCAGGAAGAGGGGGAGGGGATGGAGCGACCCTGTGTCTGGCTGGAAGATCCAGTTCCCTGCATGCCCAACCCTTCCAGCCTCTGTGCGTGTGTACCTGTGGGTTTCTCCCATTGAACTGGTCCTCCGCACAACCCCAGCCCTGCTTTCTCCATTCAGCCCCAATTCTGCCCCCCCCCCCCGACCTCCACTCTGTCATCCAGAGCTCTTAGAAAAAATTAAAACAGGGGCCAGAGAGATAGCACAGTGGGTAGGGCGCTTCTCTTGCACGCAGCCGACCCAGGTTCGATTCCGGGCATCCCATAGGGTCCCCTGAGCACCGCCAAGAGTGATCTCTGAGTAGAGAGCTGGAACCCCTAAGTGTCGCCAGGGGTGACCCAAAAACTAAAACTAAATCAATTTCAAAAAGAAAAGAAAAGAAAAGAAAACCCAAACATGAACAACTTTGTAGCTGTGTATCTCGTGGTGATTCAGTAAAGATTCAATGAATAAAAATAAAATAAGCGGGGCTGGAGCGGTAGCACAGTGGGGAGGGCGTCTGCCTTGCACGTGGCCGATCCGGGTTCGATTCCCAGCATCCCATATGGTCCCCTGAGCACCGCCAGGAGTAACTCCTGAGTGCAGAGCCAGGAGTGACCCCTGAGCATCGCCGGGTGTGACCCAAAAAGCAAAATAAAATAAAATAAAATAAAATCAGCAAGATTGGGGCCAAAGCGATACTAAGCGGGGAGGGTGTTTGCCTTGCGTGGAGCCAAACTGGGTTCGATTCCCGGCATCTCAGAGTCCCCTGAGCACTGCCAGGAGTAATTGCTGAGTGCAGAACCAAGAGTAAGTGCTGAGCACCACCGGGTGTGACTCAAAAACAAAACAAACCAACAAAACCCCTTCAAGACTGGACTAATACAGCCGAGAGCGAACTTGCCTTGCATGCGGCGGTCGACCCAGGTTTGATCCCCGGCACCCTATGGGGTCTCCTAAGCCCCGCCCAGAGTGATCTTTGAGCACAGAGCTAGGAGTCAGTCAGCCTTCAGCACTGCTGAATATGGCCTCAAAAGAATTTTATTTATTTATTTATTCTTTTTGGGTCACACCCGGCGATGCACAGGGGTTCTCCTGGCTCTGCACTCAGGAATTACCCCTGGCGGTGCTCAGGGGACCATATGGGATGCTGGGAATCGAACCCGGGTCGACCGCGTGCAAGGCAAACGCCCTACCTGCTGTGCTATCTCTCCAGCCCCTCAAAAAATTTTTTTAAAAATTTTTATTAGTGAAATACGATGAGGTACTGTTGTAGACTTACAATTTTTTTTTATTTTTATAATTTATTTATTTATTTTGAATACCCATTCCTCCACCAGTGACCATTTCCCACCACCGCGTATCCCAGTATCCCTCCAACCCCCCACTCCCCCCAACCCACCCTGTCTCTGTGGCAGGGCATTCCCTTTTGTTCTCTCTCTCCTATTGGGTGTTGTGTCCCTCAAAAATTTTTTTTCCCCTTTATCAAAAATTTTTTAAAAATTAAAAAAAATTCATTAAGTTCCTTATCTCAGGAGTGACTCGGGGGAATAATCCATGTTCCTGCCTTGCTCTCCTTGGGGACACAGGACAGCTGAAGTGGGTGCTGTGGGGGTGTGGGGGGCTGGAGAGATAGTACTATCTTGCCTTGCTACTACTATTATAGCTGACCTGGGTTTGATCCCCAGCATCCCCTGGGGTCACCGCCAGGGGTCGTTCCTGAGTACCAAGCCCCACCAGGTGTGGTCCATTCCCTTCCCCCTCAGTTGATAGGGGACACATTGGGACTAGGAGAGTATCCAAGCCCCAGACCCAAGTCACCCTGACAGTGAGAGGAACCTGCAGAGCCCTGGCTGGAAAGGGCCGAGGCCCTTTAGAGAGAATGGGGGGTGTGCACCAGGATTAGAGGGACATACTGGGAGTGAGGAGGCAAAGTTGGGGAGATGGAGGAAGGAGTTATCCTGGAGAGATGTCATTGGCTGCGCGTCATTCTCCTCCCGGACTAGCTCTCCCTGTTTTGAGCATGGAGTGTTCAGGACGGGCTTCCTGGAGGTGGGAGCATGGGACCTGGGGCTTCACACATAGTAGGCATGCACTCTGCCACAGGAATTTTTTTTGTTATTATATAGCACATTATATATTATTATATATCACACCCACCAACTGACCCGCCCAGCGCCGTGTAATCCCATCAACGGCCAAGACCCAGAGACTATAAAACCCAGCTACCGGAAGAGAACAGCACAGAGTCTCCTGTCCCCACTCCTGGCTGTCCTCACTGGGGCCCCATGGAGGGGAGCGGGTTGAGTTTCCCTCCCCGCCCCGAGCAGAGCTCCGGCAGCTGAAGACTTCCAGAATCAGCCACCACCATGCTGAGACCACTCTCCACACGCATGAAGGTACCGGCAGAGGAACACAGGCATGCGGGTCCCGGGGCTGAGATCTCCAAGCCTGCTCGGATCGGGGCTGAGCATCCTCCACCCAGATCCTCCATCTCCCAGTAGGCAGGGGTCACACCCACCAACTGGCCCCCTGGCGCCGTGTAATCCCATCAACGGCCAAGACCCGGAGACTATAAAACCCAGCTCCCGGAAACAACATCTTATTATCTCATTCCTACTTTGGACAACCTGGCAGGCTACCGAATGTCACCTGCCCACACGGCAGAGTCTGGCAAACTCCCCGTGGCGTCCCCAATACGCCAAATACCAGTAA